ATGACAGTCTTCTAAGGCAGGGAGTTAGATAAAAGAGTCTCCACTGTACCAATGATGTGGAACATCTTTTCATATGCTTACTGCCCAATATCCTCTACTGTGAACCATCTGTTTCTGTTCATTGCATATACCTGTTTTTCTCATGAATTATCTTTTTCTTAATTATTTACAAGTGTTCTAAGTCTCAGATATTAATTAATCTTTTGCCTTTTATAGGTCATAAACATTTTCTCTCAGGCTGTAACCTATCTATTAACTACTTTTTTTATAGTTATTCTATTTCATGGAAGTATTTAATTTTAATATTTTTTTAAGACTTTATTTATTTATTCATGAGAGACAGAGAGAGGCAGAGACATAAGTAGAGGGAGAAGCAGGCTCCCTGCAGTTGCCCTATGTGGGACTTGATCCTGGAACCCCAGGATCACACCCTGAGCTGGAGGCAGACGCTCAACACTGAGCCACCCAGGAGTCCCATAAATATTTAACAAGGTTTTGAGCCACCCAGGCGCTCCTAGTTTTAATCTAATGAAATAAATGATTTTTCTTTCTTTTTAGCTTTAGCTTACTATGTCTTGTTTAAGAAAACCTCCCTTTGCTAAGATTCTAAACCTATTTGTCTATGTTTCTTCTAATACCTCAGTCATTTTGCTATTACCAAGCTCCAGAGGATGAACTGAAAAGTTCAGAAGTTTTGGATTTTGACCAAAATTATAAAACTAGAAACAACGAAGCTCGGATCTAGATTGATATATATCTATATATAATCAAAGCCAATGCAACAATTTCACATCACCTTCCTGAAGAACAAATTAAAGTCTGAGAGAAGTAAAGTGAAATATACAGATGTCTAATAATGATGAAATTGGGGATAAATGCACATCTTTGCACTGAGAATACATAAATGACTAACATACAAAGGATTCATTATCACCCTCAGAAAACCAGCACAATCTCCTCCACCCATAGAAACTTCAGCCAAAGGGCTAGAGCAACTGGAGATCTAAATACTACTGAGCAACTACTAGGTGTCAACTACTGTGACATAGAGGTCCAACTACTCTTCATTCATTTATTCGTTCATTCATCCATTCCAGCAAAAATATATATATACTCTGAACACCTAACGTGTTCCAGGCAGTGATCCTGAGCTCCACACCCTCATGTTTTTCCTTTGCTAGATTCCTCCACACGGATGTTCTCCAAATTCCTATGGCTTTGCTTACTCAAAACCAACCTCTACATTCACAATTTACCTTAGATTATTATAGCCATTCAGGTCACATGCCTTCTTCTATCTGCTACCAGAAAGTGAGCTCTCTTGGGTGAGATATATATCTGATGCACCTCTTGTGTCGTCCAAAGCAGAGTCTAAGGACCCTGGTGGTAGAGGCATTCTCTTACTTTTTTGTGTGATCAGTGGCTTAACTTTCTCTCTTGCAAACTACAATGTGATATTTTTAAGGGTGGGCAAGAATGAATAACGAATGAATGACAGGGGGGAAAGGAACAAACATCTTGTATCTTTATCAAACCCAATCTTCCTAAGTGATTTTCCCACTTTGTTGAGGTCACTATTTATTCTCACATTTATCAGTTGCCATTGGCATTACACGATCTTGATTATTCTCTCTTCTTTTAACATCTATTGTAAGCTGTCAAATCTTGCTTCAACTACAACTTTATCCAAATCTTTTCTGTTCTCTCTGCCACCACTTTGCTTTCAGGCTCACCGTCTCTTGCAAAAAGCTATTATAAATGATCTCCAACAGGGGCTCCCCACCCTAATCCATATGACACCCACTGCTGCCATGTAAACTTTCCTGATTCATAATCTCATTCTGTCAATCCTTTGCTTGAAACCTTCAAAGGCTCCCTATGATCCATGGGATTCATTTCAGACTCTCAGCTGGACATCAAGGCTCTATAGAATATCCTATCCACATTTTGATTATAATTTCCCACTGCTATCCTACTGACACTTTCTCCTCCTCCCACCCACTCCTCAATCAAACAGGATTACATGTCTTTCATTAAATACACCTTGCATTTTCCAGCTCCATCACTTCTGCCTGGGACAACCTTACACTTGCTCTTTTGTGAAATAGGTCCTGACACCCAAACAGCCAAGATCTCTGCCTCCTTTGATATATCAGCCGCATTTTGTACTGCCTTCTTGGAATCAATTTTGCTTGATTTATGTATTTACTTATGTATTTAATCCTGTTTTATTCATAGTCATTTGGTATTTACCTTGTTTACTACCATGAGGCACCTTCAGGTAAGGGTCAGTGGTTTCCTTATTTTGTATTTTTCTGCGGTCTAGTACAGAGCCTTGTACCTAGAAGCAATTAATAAAATATTTGTGGGAACTGAACTGTTCTCTAAACTTTGCTGTAAGCTCATTGAGGACAGTGACTTTAAGTATTGCTGAGCCTCTTGATACAAATAAGGGCTTTGTATGTAATAGGTGATCAAAACATATTTGTTTAAATAACTTTGTAGTTCCCAAGAAAGATTTTTCAAAATATGTGAATACTAGCATTAACCTAAATGACTCATTTAGAAACTTCTCACCAGTTAACATAAAAAAAGGGGAAAGGAACGATGACTCTAACATTCTTTTCCTTTTGTTTTATATGATAACACCTAACTCTTACTAGGTGTTTATCATATGCCAGGTTTTATACTCCAGGTCTTATAATGTTCATCTTATGTAGTTCTCACCACAGCCCCAGGAGGCACTCTTTCCCCACTTGATGGGCAGGAGGGGCAGAGAAGTGAAGTAACTTGACCCCACCGTGAGCAAGTGGCAGAGCTGACATTTGAATCCAGGCAGTTTTCTGTCTCTAGAGCCCACGACTGTCATCATCATGCCATACTATCTGGATTGAGTTTGCTGAGCCTCTTAATTTTAACAGTTTGAGTAAAAAGAAAAAAAAAAGAAAAAAAAAACCTTCTAAAAATACCAAAACAAGAACTTCTTGTCTTTTAGATTATTTTAATGGATGGAAAAATAAAGAATTGTTAAACCTATTTCATCCACCTCAATGTAAGCTTCAAATTTAGGAGGCTATTAGTTTTCTCAAACAACATGCATGGTTGATTATGTATCCCAAAGGATGGATCAGATGACAAAGATAATATACTATCAGATAAATGAAAAATCACTTCATTTTGGAAAGCTGTGTAGAAATCTCAGAATCAAAGATAGTCACTTACTCCCCAACCTCCAGGCAAGTCTGCACATCCTTTAAAAATGCCTGTTGGTGGTCTGGACTGATTGGTTGGCAGAAAAGGGGAATGGGGGTTGTCACTAAGAGTAAAATAAAACAAAACAACAACAACAAAAAACAACAAAAAACCCCAAACCAGAAATTTCTCTCTTTTTGAATTTTTATTCAGTCTGCAGGTCAAGTTCTGGAAAAGAATATACTGGCACTGAGGAGTTAGGAGAATGAGAAGTTAGAAAGAAGGTAAAAGGTGTATCAGCTTTAAATATGATGAGGGCATATTGAAGAAAAACTCACATGCTGTAAGATATAGGATTTCAGAGATATAAGTATGCAAAGTAGGGATAGATTCTATTGTTAGATCCAAGGAACAGCCACTACTAGCCTGAACACCAGTGTCTCTTTAGTTTCCAATGGAAATATTAAAGATGGGATTTATAACTCAAGCTGAAATTATACCAAGCAAGGACAAAATCTGATTTTCAGTAAAATGAAGTAGAAAAATACCAACTGATGCTTCAACTCCTTGGGCCTTCTATTTATCTATTCAAAGTTAGAAAAAATTGATGTAAAAAGTTGGATCATAGTAACTCCCACTACTAGTCATAGATGTTGTTTTCTAGATTTAAGTGCTAATGTTAAAATATACCATAGGTGATCTCTGTGACTCAAGCAACACCTTAAATCTAAGTCCCATTTATAAAGCAAAATTTTATTACAGAGTATTTTAACTCTTTTACAATGATCTAAAATAGTCAGTTGCTGGTCACTTCAGTGTTTCAAAGTATAGTTCAGACGTTCAGAAAAGAACAGAGGAGAAAGAATTAGTCCATTATGTTCATTAATGTATCATGGAAAATGACAGCCTGAAACTCATGAGCACTGGCCAACTCCCTCTGCTGTAGCAGAAATCATAAAAACAAAAACAAAGCACATAATGGAAAAAAAAGAGTTTAAGTCAAGTGAAAACACTTTATGACGTTTCAAGCTTCTTAAAAATACATCCACTCAAATGTGAAAGCATAGCAAATAATTAATCCCAAAATAAGATATAAAAACAATTTTGCTTGCACACACTGAATAAATGCACATTCTTAATGGTCTGTAACGTCTTTTAAGAATTCAGCTAATATGGCATTAACTAAATGTTTTCACAGAGATGGAACATTAAGGTGTAATATGCATACTGATTCATATGAAACAAAGGGCCTCCTAACTTTCTGTTTCAGATCATTGCTATTCTCACATTCACTCAGAAGCCTCAAACCCTTTAACACTGTGAATGTGAAGTAGGGACTATTTTTATAGAGACCTAACTTAAAAGTACATCATTTTCCTCTCAAAGGCAACTTTATCAACAACACTCCATGAACAGAGTAATGAAGCTTAACCGTTCATTCTAACTGGGTAAGAAGACTTAAAAACGTGGAGAAAAAGAAAAAAATATATTGGTTCCCCCATACACACCATAAATCTCAATACTCCTTCATGCTTTCTACTTTAAATTTAACCATTTTAGGATGCTAATAATTTTGCAATATTTCCCCCTGGAGCATTCTCTATCAAGATTAAAGAGGGGCTTATTCAGAAACAAACAGGATACAGGAATGAGCATGCCGCTTCCAGGCAAGCTATGAATAGCAATAGCATTTTCAAGAAATCTTGTGCCAATGTGTAAGTTACAGTTTAAACATGCAGTGCAGATTTTATTACAATTGTCACCAGTGTCACCAAAATTCATTGTTATTTGAGAAATTCAATTCTTACCAAGTTTTCTTGGTTCCTGGCTGCTATTTTCTGCTCCTCTTCTGCCCCATTTTTCATGTATTTGACCTCTTCCACCGGTTTGATCCTATACTCATCTGAGCACCAAAAAAAGAAAAGACATTTTATAACTTTTTCACAATGGTAGAAAACTGTCAGTGAAAAAAAATCCAATAGCATCATCAGTTGGAGCCTTTTCCCTGCAGCCTTTATCTGTGGTTCATTTGAAACAATCTGGAATATGTTTAACCAGCCTTTTTTTAGGAGGTGCTCTCCTCTGCCCACTGGGAAGAGCTCAGCACCATGAAGGCAGCTAATGAACGTGGCATTGCCTCGTCCTTTCACAGAAAGCAAATGGTGGCAGAGGCAACACAGGTCATCCCTCTCTAAAGACTATCTGGAATCTATACATACCAAGGCATACCACATAATGGTCTAAGGAAGTTTTTCTCCATGAGAACACTAGTTCAAAATGCCTCTGGCAGCAACTTTCAGCAGTATGTTCACACCTTAATTTCCCTCTTTTGGAAAAACAAGGTATTGTTTACAATTAAAGAGTTTAGTTGATCAAAAAATAGATACAAACAATAGGGAATTAAAATTTTCCTATTTGTGGTCCCCATATTAAATGTGGAATAGTCTGCATTTACTTCATATGCTAGCACACACACACCACACACACTTCAATCTCTCTGTAAAGTCACATGCATGAAGAGCCACAGTATCTAATGAATCTAATAGGTATATCCCTCGAGGTAATGGGATCTAGACTTCATAAGAGCCAGAGAGAGGAGAGAGAGACAGAGAGAGAGAGAGAGAGAGAGTACAGTAAATCTCAGTATAAATACACATCACAGGACGAACTCTGGAGAATGTGTGGCACAAGCTCCTCTCCAGGGTAGCAGTTTGGTAATGACAATGATGTTTTCGTCAGAGTCCTGTCAACAGGTAATGACTTGGGAGCCCAAAGGTCCAAATAGGTGTGACTTCAAGTCATCTTTAATCTAATTTGTTGGGAAAAAAAAAATCACTGAAATTGTGCAAGTGGAAAATTTCACCCATCAACACAATGACAGCTGCCTAGTATATGGCATGGAATAATGCCTACGCTGGTCTACCTGAAAGACGCTTATCGCTAAGAAAGTGTATATTTCAGTTCAGGAAGTTGTAATGTATTTTCTTACTGCTTGTGATGAATTTGGTACAATGACTAAGTATATAACTTCCTGCCTTATTATTTATAATACTATTTTCTATCTAGTTTCAGGTTTCTCATACTACCCCTTAACACACTACCCCCAAAGATGTTAGCTAAAGTAACATCTTGCCAAGTAATTATACTGTTCAAATATTTTTCAAAATCATCCTTATGATAGTAGTACATGAAAGCATGTATCTGAATGAGACTCCATGTTCATGGCTAAGCCAATTGTTTTTTCCACCTGACAATTCAAGATAGTTATTGATTCTACTTCTTTCTAAAGAAATTAGAAAGACCGATGTGAGGTTACAGTAATGAGCCCTTCAGGAATACCGAGTCCTAAATGTTAATCAGTGGACTCGGATCCGCAATCACAACACAGAAGAATTTCACATTCCAATTTAGTAGTAAGAGGGAAAAAAATGAAAGTAAATTAACAAAATAGACACATTTAATTAAGGATTACTTACTCAGAAGTTAGAAAAGCACTTGTTAATTACCAAAAGAAAAAAAAAAGGACATTGACAAATTATGCCTTCAGTACAATTACGCAGAGATAAAAATAAAGGTAAAAAATGAAAGAGATAACCTCTCTAATGTCAGTTTGGGACATTAATATTTGTAAAACATAGTTCATTCGGATAAATATTAACATTTCACTTGACTAAATTGTGATCTTAATTACTTATGATTTCTGATTATTTAAATATAAATTTTACACACACACACAAAAGTTTTTAAACATAATTTTGGTGGATTTCTATGACTGTCTGTAGGATCCTAGTCCTCAGATAAGATGAGGAAAGCACATTTTAGGACCTAAGGCGAACCTTCTGAAAGATGGTACTTTGCCCACTGCACAGCAAAGGATTTGTCCTAGAGAAGATTCATCCTTGCCTCGCCCCATCCTCTCCATCCACCAAGCCACAGCCCACTGTCTCTGGGCAGTCTAGCAATAGTTAGTCTTCATTTGCTTTTTTTACCCTCCAGGAACACAACTGAATTGAAAGTAATAGACAAACTATTAATATTTTTCCTACTATTTTTCTTCAATGAAATGGGAAAGCCGCTGGCAACATGACTTTCAAAGCAGTATTATCCCAAACTTTTTTTTAAACATCAAGGCAGAATCATCACCCGTTCAGAAAGAAAATAGGTTTTAGTGTGTCATTAACAACCATGGCTGGCTGGACAATGCAGGATACAAAGAAAGAAAAAACAAACAGGCACAACTACAAAGCCAGGCCTATCATTATTACTTACACAACACACTGAATAAAATCCATTGTGGTATAAAACAAAAAAAGCCAGCAAGACCCTTAGATAAAACCACAATTCGTACAAAGGAAATACTTAAAAAATGGTCTGTTAAATTTCTCAAAGGCTGGTGCTGGGATTGAAGATGTCCATCTGGAAACAGACAACTCATCAACAAATGTGTCACACATTTCCATGGCGATGCAGCCGTCAGGAACGGCACCCGCCAACAAGCCTCTGTGCAGACGAATGGAGCATTTCGGGTTCTGACAGTGAAACAGCCAGACAAAAATCCAGTTTTCCTTTTGTTTAAGGCACAGGGGAATCAATGTGGGACTCTGGGCCCCCTTAATCAAGCCCCACACTGGAGGCAATTAGCACAGCCACCGATATAAGCCAGCGAATCCTGGCAGCAGAACAATGTGCCAACTTGATTAAGAGGAGGGAGAAGCAGGACCATCTTCCTCTGGCTCCCTCACACCTGTTCACAATTTTTCTTTTCTTCCTGTTGATCTTGTCAGGTGGCCTATTAAAATGCACGTCAGGAACAGTAGGCTGACACCCCATTCCAAATCTGCTCCCCCTTCTCTCTATGTAAACAGTTGCAAGCTGTGCTAGTCAAAATAGATCTGGGGTAAGAGCAATGCGTTGGTGATATTTTTAGCATTTTATTCCCCAGCTTACATCAGAGGGGGGCTGGATTGTTTCTGTGGTGGCTCCATCATGCAGACACACAGTTTCCCACCAAACCTCTGGGCTTCATTTTGATGTATTGTAATATATATATAGTATATGTTGTAATATATATATATTGGATATATGTATTGTATACATATATAATCTTACGTTTTTAGAACTTGGAAGAAATTAGTTGGCTGCACATACTTTAGGTAGTACGGACTCACCCCATTTTCTGGATCCTGTCAATTCTTCTATTATCGACAACTCACTGGCCCTATCTCAGTTTTCCCAAGTTTTGCTGCTATAAGTTTACCTTTATAATCAATGGCACTGGCTTTAAAATGGGCCAGTTGGATGGAGATAAGTGCTGGCGTGAGTTTATAATGCCAGAATAATTTTTTTTTTTAAAGTTAACAGCTTTCACAAATGTATTCAGTAGATAGGGAAGGAAGAAAAGCAGAATGCTATATATGCTACTCTCTCTGGTAAAAAGAGATCTTACAGTTATTCGCTAAAATGGTGAAATTTGCATCTACTTTCATACCTTCTTACCCAGTGTTTTTCTGATCAATGACATATATGTGATAAAATTTTTTTTCCAAGGCTGTTCCAATCTCAAGAATTTTGTGCTAATGTTCTCATATTAAACATGTCCAACATTGGGGGCACCTGGGTGGCTCAGTGGTTGGGCATCTGCCTTTGGCTCAGGTCATGATCCCAGGGTCCTGGGGTCAAGTCCTGCATTGGGCTCCCCACAAGGAGTCTGCTTCTCCCTCTGTCTATGTCTCTGCCTCTGTGTCCCTCATGAATAAATAAAATCTTAAAAATGTCCAACAACTTGACACCTTTATTAAATGCTCTTGATTGCCTCTTTATCCAGAATTTGCATGAAGATTCTTTGGTAGACAATTATGATATGCTCCGGAAATATGAGAGCTTGGGAAAGGCATTACAAGAAGTATTTACAAACATAAGACATTGAAAAGAAAAAACTATACTAAGCTTATGGCATACACTTGTTCCTCTTGGGTGCCTTCCTTTGAACATCCTGTCTCCCAAGCTAACTAAATTTGAGCCTTAATATTCTGATACAAATTCTTGCCTAGGATCTTTATTTCCTTACTTGGCAGGAGTTTTTCAAGAAATAAATATTCATAATGGCTAAAAGCTTGGCCTGTAGAGCTGGAATGCCTAGCCATATGACCTTGGACAAGTTGCTTATCCTTTCTGTGCCCTGATTTCTTCACTGGTAAAATGAGAATATCTATGGTACATAATCTCACACATAGAGTCACCTGAATTAATACATGAAAACAGCGCCTAGTCTATAGTATATGTTCAATAAATGTTAGCTGCTACTTTAGAAAGCTCTGCTAGTTCTACAGGGAATATTATTCCTAATGTACAAAATCCATCAAGATCTAAAAAGAAAAGGTATAACATAAACATCAGTAATTAACCAAAATTGTTAATTAACTACATTAACAAATGAGAAGAGGAAGTGAGAAGGGGATTTATCATCCATAATAAGCCTTTAATATTTTTTTGGCCATGCACATAGATTACTTTAACCAAAATACTAACTCAAGTACTGTATTACTTTAGTTAGAATGATTTTAAAACAATAAACAGCTTCTATAACTAAGAAAAGTGACCGTTATTTAAGTGAAACCAGGGGTACAACAAAATGATGTTCCTCTATCTTTCTTTACATCCTTACTCAATAACTGCCATTTGCACAGCCTAGGTGTAGCCTACTTTGAGGGCCAAGAGTGAACAAGTGAGGGCCAATTCAGAAGAGGCAGGAATATAAAAAATAGTGAAAGGGATTAAAGGGGAAAGGAGAGAAAATGAGTGGGAAATATCAGTGAGGGTGACAGATCATGAGAGACTCCTAACTCTGGGAAATGAACAAGGGGTAGTGGAAGGAAGGTGGGCGGGGGGCTGGGGTGACTGGGT